AGACTGTGCCTCGCTCCCTAATGTGCAAGTTGCACATCATTCAACCATAACTCCTGAGCACCTGTTTGACCACTCCCACTTAAAAAAGCAGGCAGTGGGCATATTTACCAAAACACTGAAGGATGTGGCACTGGGCTGTCAAAGCCTCCATCTCACACCAACCAGAGGACCAGCCAGGGACCCTCATTACGCACCAGACCCTGTCAGGAGCCAAAGACCTCCCAGACATCCGCCCAAACCCAGCATACCCCACAGACCCCCACCTCCACCACAATGACACCGAAAAAGTCCATTGAATTTACATAATTTTAATGTGGACATCGGTCCCACATGATCAAAATAAGGCAAAGTGACATAATTTTTCTCTTTTCCTCTTCCCCTCAATCAATTATTGCTTGTAAATCAAAAATATTTAATACACATTAAGACTGTTTAAATTAATCATGTTGATTCAACATGATTTTTATTAGTTACTGTAAACCCAATTTATTGAGTAAAGTGAACATAATTCAATCATTTTCAGGGTATCTGATGTACATCTGTAACTCTAACTTGATTTCTTCATGGTAATATCACTCAAAGGTGTTATGTTATTTTAAAGCAATTTCATTATGTCCCTGTTACCCGTATTATGTCTGTAATTCCAACTTGATTTTGTTAACTTAACCCTATCCAAATATATTAGACATTGTTTCTAAAGTTTAAGTGTGTGCAATTACAAAATCATAAATGTAAACTAATTTGCATTGACAAAAAAAAGCAGTCAGAGTTCTGTACCAAAATCTTCTTGTATTGAATCTTTAAACATTACGGAATACAGCAAATTTGCATAAAGTGTAGTGTTTGCAAACATTTTTTGCAAAGGATTCATAAAAAGTTAACTTACAACAATGACCTTGCAGGAAGAAATGAAAAATCATTCAAATGGTGCAGCAATGACAAAATGCCTTTGTGGACAGTTAAAAGGCCTTCTGATTTACAATGATAAACAACAACAAAAAATGATACATGGACATGATCTCATATCATAGTACCGTACCATAGCTTAGTACCACGGTACTTTTCTAGTATCGGTATACTGTGCAACCCTACGCAGAGCAGCAAAAATGCTTACAAACCCCGTTTTAAATATTTTTTTATAAGGGATTCATAAAAGAAAATGTCTATCAACAATTAACTTGCCGGAAAAAAGGAAAACTGAGTCAAATGGTACATGGACAAGACCTCAGATCATTTCAGTGAAGGCTCTTTTTCATTGAAAGAGCCTGTTCTTTAGAGTGGTTACTTTGTTAGAAAGTTTACTGCCATCTAGTTCCATGAAAATCTTTTGGATAACTTTGAAAGTGTAGCGGAGGTCAGCAGGGTAGCTGAGGTTCAGGGCATACATCAGTCCGAACAGCATAGCAACAGCTAATGCTACGTTATCCTGATCTTGCAACACCTTGGTGCCTTCAAGGACAATGTCCTCTGGTTCATCACTGGAAGCATGTTCTTTAAGAACATAAATCCCAATAGTGGTGTCTTCATCCATGCCCTGTACAAAACAGAGAAACATAGGGGCTACAAGCTCTGGGGTGGTTGCGCTTCTGATGTTAAAGGATTTGCTTCTGGGCGTGCGTAAATCACTTCACACATGCGCTTCGCGGTGCATTCACAGGCAGTGTGTTCCCGGCGTAAGTGCAACAAAAATGGATGACACACTGAAAAATCTTCTTGTAAAGAGCATGATGCAATAGAGAACATATGAAATGATAGACAATATTGTCAAACAATAAGCAAGTACTGTCAGTGATGTGCAATAAATGTTTCACAAGTAAAAAGCCAGTAAGTTTTAAGCTGTTTTCCAAAGTAAGCACTGATCCATGTACATACCACATACTCCCCTGTCAGGTTTTCTGGATCTTCACCCATCGACGCAGACTATCCATAAAATGCCTCCATACTGCTCATCCAAAGTAATCCAAAGTAATCCAAAGTAATCCAAATGTCCTTTCATTTTTGTTTTCTGAAAAATGTCACTGACACGACGTTGTTAGCCGTACTGTTTACTGTAGCTCCTCAGCATTCATGTATTCTCAGTCACACGTGCACCTCTTCCATCAGTGAAGTGCCCTGGAGGTCCAGCGTAAGTCTTTTTTGCTGTTGGTGGTCTGCATGACTACAAGTGAGAGTGAGGGACCTGCCCGCCTCAAAGTGCTCTATCCCAGACACACTCCTCTCTCAGCCCCCCTCCATGAGCCACAGGTCGGGACTTTTACCTCTCTGGCTTGAATAGGTGTGCATGCAACATGCATATGTGAATGCTGAGGAGCTACAGGCCACAACAAACATGAAGGCTACAAACATAGTGACAGTGACATAAAAAAAACAAAACAAAACTGGCCTGTTGACACTTTGATTACTTTCGATCAAAGTATGGAGGCATTATGTGGATTTATTATATTTGTTTTTTTACATTTGAATGATGGTCACCTTTCACCTCCAGTGTTTAGGACATGACTGTAACATCTTTTTCCTGTGAAACTCCAGCTGTGGTGTTTGAACTAAAACCCTTCACCCACGGGCATGAGGGTGAGTAGATAATGAGTGAATTTAAATTTTTGGGTGAACTATCCCAACAAAACATTCTACAATTTTCCATAAGTTTTCTACAATGGTAAGGTATGGGTTTTCATGAGTGTGGGACACCTGTATCTCTTACATCATCCATCTGTGCTACGACTTTTTTGAGCCTTTGCCCCAGCTGTCCTCCTCTTTGCTGGAGCAGCTTCATCAGGTTGTCAGAGTGGAGAGCCAGTGGACACAGCAACTTGGATTGAAGTGGGATGGTGGTGATTCTCTTGAATTCAGCGTTGATCTAAAACGGGTAAAAAGCACAAAGGAAATCAGGTTAAAACCATAAACATCAGGAAGAAAGTCACAATTACACATACGGCAGACCAGGACAATGTAGAGGGGAGATAAAGCACAGATGAATAATATACAATGAGGTTTATTAGCAGTTTGCCAGTGTAGTCAAAATTTTCCTTTAATCAACAGCAAATCCAAAATTAAAAATCCAGCATGAGACAAGCCTTACCTCGCTGACTGACTGTAGAGCAGGCCACCTTGCCACGTTGTTTATGTGTTGCTGTTGACCTGTGAGCCCATGTGTACAGTGTTGAGCGACCTAATGGCCCATGGGTAAAAACTGTCTCTGACTCTGTTTGTCCTGCATGTTCAGGCCCTGCACCTCCTGCCTGAGGGCAGCAGGCTAAACAGGGGCTGTCCAGGGTGGTGGAGGTCCTCTGATATTTTCTTTGCTCTGCTGAGGCGCCGAGAGCTGGCAGTGACCTCCAGAGGAGGCAGAGGGCTACCAGTGATCTCTTCTGCAGTTCTGGTATCCCTCTGCAGCGCTTTCCTGCTTGCCACAGAGCGGCCAGCAGACCACACCGTGACACAGTACATCAGCACGCTCTCAGTGGTGGTGCAGTAGAAGGACACCAGCAGAGGTCTTCTGTGATACAGGTCCCCAGAAACTTAAAGGAGGCCAAAACCATTCCTGTGTCATCGGGGCCTTAAGCTCCGTCTCCACCGAGCAGTTCAGTTCATAGTTTCTGTCTCCACAGTGAAAGTTGTGGATGGTCCCAACAGAAGCGTTCCTTAGCGTCCCCATGTTTGGTCCCCCCTCTGTTGGGGTACCTAGCACACAGATCTGGTACTAAAAGGTGGAGCTAGAAACCCTGCAGTCTGATTGGTCAGTAGAGGACGCTCACTCTGGTTTTATGTAACCTCTGTTCATACATCAGTAAACTACAACTATAAAATGAAAGAGAAAAAAATTACTTCATTCACTGGGCCGACTGCCGGCAACTTTTAAGGTGGAACGTTAACTTGTAATGTTACTCAATGCATGAGTTGATGACGTGAATCCATCAGCACACCTTAAATTTAATCCTTTTGTTGTTTAAACTTATGAGCTTTTTTCTGGACTTTATTACCATTCTTCTGATGTCATTTTGACCTTGTTGTGTTTATTATGAAGCTTCCTGTTTGTGTTTAGATGCTTTTCTCACTGTGAACGCGCCCCAACAGCTTTGTTTACTGTTGGACCCTGTGAGATTTGGACACGTATCTTTATGAGGAAACAGTTCAACCTTAAAGAATGAAGCAGTCACTGATAAGATGTGACCAGCTCATGTTAACCCTTTAGGGTGTGTTTATTATTGGTCACTACACAGTTTTTGTGTTGCCTTCTGTATTCCTCTGTGTCGTGTATAATGTTGTTACATCAATGGATGTGACAGTGCGCTCACAGCTGCTCCTGAAGACGCCTCTCTTTGGCACAAACTGTCTGATGAACGTCTCGTGACCCAAACACATGGCAGCATTAACATCAGTGTTTCTGATGGTTAGACAGTGGGCTCCAGTGTTTCTGTCTCAATAAGTAAATGAAGTGTTATTATGAATGATGACGTTCACATCCCTCCAAATGTAATCACTCAGTGTTTGTGGCACCAGAGGGCACCAAACCCTCCCCCATGAGGAGCAGCGCTCCTCAGCTCCCAAACATCCAACAGCTGTTTTCACTTCTGACATCACAGACAAACCATCAGTGACTCACATTTGACGTTTGACAGGTTTCTGTTGCTATGGTGGCCCTGAGGGTCAAAATATATATTATTTTATTTATTTTATAATAATTATTTAAATCTTTTTGTCTTTTTAATGTTTTTGTGTTTTCTAAAGTGTTTTGTTTATTTTGGAAATGTTTTTGTTTTCTCAAATATTGTTGTTTTCTGAAATGTTTTGGTGTTTATTTAAATGCTTTCTATTTTTCTGGAATGTTTTTGTCTTTTTAAAAATATTTCATTTTTTCATATTTTTTTGTTTTGTTTTGTTTTGTTAGGTTTGTTTAATTTTTGTTGTGGTGTTTTGGCCCTCTGGGGCACCGTAGTGTTCAGCCACATCCTTCAGACACTTGTACATCACTGCTGTGCTGTGTGATCCCTGTACTCGATTACATGTTACAGGTACATGTTGCACTTTAGTTTCTTTGCAGGGCCACACAGCTGCTGTCAATCGGGCAAAAGTTGGGTGGAGCTGTGCTGGGAATTATGGGATGTCACCAAACTAAGCTCATTGGAGGAGACAGTGAAGCAGGGGGCGGGGGTTGACACGGGGGCGTGGCTTACCGCGGTCAGTCTGTGGCCGGAAACTGAACCACAGACAAACAGCTGCTCAGCTCCCAGCTGGAGTTTCACCTGAACTTCACCTGAACCGGCACCGATTGCACACACAGGTGAGTCCATCTGCACGAGACACACAGCAGGTAAATCATCAACAACACGTGTGTATTAACACCACACAGTGCAGCTTTAAAGTGACTGTTATTCCGTCGTTATGACGTCATCAGACGATTCCTTTCACTGCTGTAGCTGTTGAGGTGGAGCTCATTTAACTCATGATAGTTTTCATCATGGATTCATCTGCTGATTATTTTCTCCATTTGTTTGCTTTGTGAAAACAGTGATGAAGCACATGTGTCATCTGTAAATATAAAACTTCTCCCACAAACACACAAAGAAATGGTAAATTGCAAAAAATATTTTCAAACGGATCTGCAAATGAAAAAATCCCACAAATTAAAAAAAAAATCAGTGAAACATTTAATTCATCTAGAAAATAAATATAAAGAATTCATTTATATCTTTCTGACTGCTTTTATTTGTGAATCTCATTTCTACGCAAGTTTTGAATTTGTGTATTTGCAGATCTGCTCTACATTTTCAGTTCACAGATATTTAGATTTGGAGTTTTAATATATGTAAAATAAATAAATAAATAAAAAAACTAGCTGATTCATTACTTCATGGAAAAATTCTGTGATTTTGTTTTTGTGTAAAAAAAATACTACAGTTAAAGGTATAAAAGTATTTATGGTTCAATATGATTATTAATGAAAAATATTGATTATTAAAAGGCGACTTATTTTTTCTGTAATTACAAACTGAATCTTTTCACCTTTTTTAGACACTTAAATCAATCAAACTATATTTGTACAGGAGCTTTCACACAAGCTTCAAACGTTACAGCCGACTGATGTACGCAGAGATTATAGAGCTGAAAATACAAACAATTAAACAGCTAAAACTTTTTTGTCTTTTTTTTTTAAAGAGATTAATGAAATTTAAAAGTCAATGAGTCAGTAAGTCAGGTCCAGAGAGTTTTAAGGAATGAAATTGAGCTACTTTTATTGATGGTGATTTAATCACAGGAAGTTCATCTGTTTTTAAAACGTGTGATTCAATGTTAAACGACGACGACGACGACGATGATAATGATGATGTGATGAAGAGTTCTATGACAGCAAAAACATCATCAGTCAAACAAACAAACTTTATTCATGCAGGAAAAAGTTCCTTCACCATGAGAGATGAGAACCAGCAAACACAGATGTCAGTGAACATGTCACAGTAAAATAAAACTTGTTTGATGAGATTAAAGACTGAATGACAGCATCAGCTGATCAGAGTGAACCCTGCAGCCAATCAGAGCCCTGCCAGCTGGCACCTGTCCACACACCTGCTGCTCTGAAGTCAGTAACTTTATTATCAAATGTCAGCTGCCGCTGTTGTTACACATGTTTTATGTTTCCACTGTGTGAAACAAAGATTAGTGACAGTGGCTGAGGGGGCGGGGCTTAGTGAACAGGTGATTAAGTGATGATAATGTATACAAACCAATCAGGGCTCATATTCCTGCTGTTCAGCTGCCGAGTCTCAGTCGACACGTTGGTTTGTTTAAACTCAGTTTTGAAAAATGTTGATGATATTAAAACCGTCAGTGTGACGGGTGTATCTGACGTTACATCACAGCCCTGCAGGTACATCACCTTCATCAACACGCTCATCTACCTCAGCTCCATTTAGGAGATTTTCTCCTGCAGCAGTGATGAGTTTGGCCCTGTCCTGGATGTGGGCGGGGCCTGAGCCACTTACATCACAGACAGACTGTATAAATATGTGTATGAGTGTATTTATATCAGTGTGTTTGTGGATCTGCAGGAGGAAGAGGAGGACAAAGGAGGTGAGCGAGGATGAGGAGGAGAGGGGAGCAGAGGGAGGACAATGCCACCCTCATAACCATGGAAACCAATCCGGAGAAAAACTACGGCAGCATCACCACGGTAACAGCCTGTGACCTCATCAGTGACACACTGATTAAACATCTGACTGTCAGCAGAAAACAGAAACTAAGAGTAATACGAAGTGGAGTTCCTCAGGGAAGCGCACTCGAGCCTCTGTTCTTTTTATTAAGTCTTGTATATATTTGACTGAGCGTGTCACCATTTATTAAATCCTGTTTCAGCTGAAACCATGACATATTGATTCAAACTTACTGATAAAAACTAACAAGAAAAATATTCCTGCACAACATTTATTCCATATTCAACTTTCTTGTACAAACAAAACACATAAAACTAAATTTATTACAATTTAAAGCTTTAATAATTCAGTCTAAATCTACACAAGGTTAAATACAATAAACAGAGGCTCTAGGACACTACCCTGAGGAATATATTTACAATTTTTAAACTGGTGACGATGGCTAATAATAGGTAATGTTAGTTGTAATATCATTGTAATATATTTTGTTTTAAGTCTTTTGTTTGCAGAAGAAAGTTGCTTGAATGTGGAACAAATATTGTGCAGGAATATTATTCTTGATAGTTTTTATTCTGGTAAATTTTATTCAGTATTTCATGGTTTCACCTGCAGAAAATTTGGATTTACTAAAATGGTGACATGGTATATTAAATAAGGTGAAATAAAAAGAAGAGAGGCTCTAAAATGCTTCCCTAAGGAACTTTGCCGTATTTTTTACTAAAATTGTGAGATAATAGCTCATCATAGGGCTTAGAAGGTTATTCACTGAGCGTGGATCCTTTATCCAGGGCACAAATTTCTTGTGTTTATTTGAATTTCTGCACTGTAAAGCGCCTTGGGGTGCTCTGAAAAGTGCTATGTAAATCTGATGCATTCTTCTTCTTATTATTATAGCCATCAATTTAACATTTGTATTTTATTTTTTATTTTTACTAAAATTGTAAGATAGGCTCTAGGACGCTACCCTGACGAACTCTGCATGTTGTTGACTTCACAATGTTACAGAACTTTATAGAGGTCAGGGAAAATCTGATGAGTAAATATAGTATTTTTAAAGAGGGGACTATGGCTAATAATACGTCATGTCAGTTGTGATTAAATTATAATACATTTTGTTTTATGTCTTTTGTTTGCACGAGACAGTTGCTTCATTGAGGACTATCATGAAGCAACTAGTTTAAAATTTGTATATTTATTAGTCAGATTTTCTCCCAACCTGCACAAAGTTATGTAAAATTGTGAAGTCAACAACACGCAGAGTTCCTCACGATAGTGTCCTAGAGGCTCCTTTTTTCTTTTTCTTTTAAATGAAATTATATAGAATCTCACAAATGTAGAAAAACTAGTAAATCTTATTTTTAAGTCAGGTAACACCATAAAACACCGAATTTAATTTGTCAGCAAAGGAAAAATCTGTCTGCACAATATTTGTTCCACAATGAAGCAATTTTCTTGTGCAGACAAAACACGTAAAACAAAAAATATTACAATTTTTAGTTTTACTAAAATTGTAAGATAGTTAACAAAGATTTAAAAAAAAAGAAGAAAAAGAAAGAAACAGAGGCTCTAGGACACTACCCTGAGGAACTCTGCATGTTGCTGACTTCACAATTTTACAGAACTTTAGGGAGGTTGGGGAAAAATCTGGCCAACACAGTTTTTAAACTAGTGGCTGTGGCTAATAATAGGTAATGTTAGTTGTGATACAATTCTTATATATTTTGTTTTATGTCTTCTGTTTGCATGAGAACGTTGCTTCATTGTGGACTAATATTACCTATTATTAGCCATAGCCATCTGTTTAAAAATTATATATTTGTTAGTCAGATTTTCTTGCAACCTCCATAAAGTTCTGTAAAATTGTGATGTCAATAACATGCAGAGTTCCTCAGGGTAGTGTCCTAGAGCCTCTGTTTGTTTTTAAACCTTAAATGGATTTCAGGGAGAATCTCACAATTTTAGTGAAACTAGTAAATCCTATTTTTTCTCAGATGAAACCACGAAACACTGAATAAAATTTATCAGCAAAAAAAAAAAAAAAAAAATACAATGAACCAACTTCTGTGCAGGGCAGCACGGTGGTGTGGTGGTTAGCACTCTCGCCTCACAGCAAGAGGGTTGCCGGTTGGATCCCGGGTGTGGGAGCCCTTCTGTGCGGAGTTTGCATGTTCTCCCCGTGTCAGTGTGGGTTTCCTCCAGGTGCTCTGACATGTTCTCCCCGTGTCAGCGTGGGTTTCCTCCAGGTGCTCTGACATGTTCTCCCTGTGTCAGCGTGGGTTTCCTCCAGGTGCTCCAGCTTCCTCCCACAGTCCAAAGACATGCAGGTTAATTGGTGACTCTAAATTGTCCGTAGGTGTGAATGTGAGTGTGAATGGTTGTCTGTCTCTATGTGTCAGCCCTGTGATAGTCTGGTGACCTGTCCAGGGTGTACCCTGCCTCTCACCCAGTGTCAGCTGGGATAGGCCCCCCCCCCCCCCCCCCGCGACCCTCAAGAGGATGAAGCAGTTAGAAGGTGAATGAATGAATGAACTTCTGTGCAGCACAAGTTGTGTTTCAGTTTTACCACCATTAACATTATCTGTTATTAGCCATCACTGTTATTATCAGAACAAACTGGCCTCACTCTGGGGCATTGGTAGTCTGAGTGGGCAGAAGTTCGCTGCACAGATCAGCCTCTCATTGGGCGGAACGAGCCACCCACTGAAGTCCCGCCCTACCACCTCCGGTTGTGTAGCAGTTTTCAACCATTTTCAACACGTCCTTTACTAACTTTTGCAGTGTTTGATCTTGCAGGGATGTAGCCATTTTTCTGCCATGGTTCACGTCCTGTAGGTGATATTTTTGTGGGCGTGTTACAACAAAACCTGTTTCCCCCCGGCAATATTTTTGCAAGCGCACCGTTGCTGTGGCACCGCCCAGAACGATTGTGATTGGTTGAAAGAAGTACAAGCAGCCGGGGCGTTTTTTTCTCCAATCTTAAAGTGAGAGTCGGCCCAGCCAGACCTTTCTTTTCTTGAGAAAGGTCTGGTGAGCGAGACTAGGGCATCGGTGGCTTAGTGGATAGAGCAGGTGCCCCATGTACAAGGCTGTTGCCGGGTTCAACTCCAGCCTGTGGCTCTTTGCTGCATGTCACTCCCTCTCTCTCGCCCCCTTCATGCTTGACTGTCCTATCAAATCAAGGCTAAAAAATGCCCAAAAAAATATCTTTAAAAAAAAAAAAAGGTCTCACTCTGAAGTCATCGAAATTTGGCATTTGGTCAGTGATTTGCGGCAACAGACACAGATGAAAAAGTTGTCCTTTCGCGTCGGCATGATTTACAGCAGGTCACCATTGCAGTTTGACAGTGCTCGGCAGCGCGGGGGGAAACATGTTGGGACAAGAATGAAAGTTAAGGCAGTGGTGGATGGGTCCCTCAACCACCGACTTTCACCTGGGAGGTCGGTGTTCACTTCCTGTAAAAACATTTTCTTAAAGCCAACAATGTGGTTTTGTTGTTGACAGGAAAAAACATTAGTTGGTGGTGTTGTACTGACGCAGTGCTTTTATTTTGAAAGAGACTGTATCAAAGTGTACATTTCCTGTGAAAACAGAAGTGTATGTTGAAAACAGACAATGCATGTAACAGGCTGAAGTTGACACGGCGTCCCAGAACGTCAACAACCAACACACCCAGGGTACCTTGGACGTCATATGTGGACGTGGAAAGTCCATGACCAAACGTGGACATGTGACGAGGTCACAGTGAGGATGAGTTGTTTAAAAATAGTTCAGTAATTGATCAGTGATCATAAGTCACGTCTCACCTGACTGTCTTTAAGTTCTTTAAAGTGATTTGATTATTTGGATCAGTCGTATTTAGTTCATTCGATCAGCTGTTGCAGGATTTTTTAGTTTCCTGTTGAAATCAGCACAAACTCTTAAAACAACCTGCAGATTAACTGTCTCAGAGCTTTGTCTCTTTTCTTAACCACATTGTGACTTCATAAGAAGTCTGAATAAAGTTAGAGCACCATAAATGAACCATCTCTGTCCCTAACTTGAGGGACTGGATGAGGTTTGAGAGCATCTCCATACCGGCAGGAATCAGAGGCTCATGAACGTTGTGAGTCTTAACGGACACATTCAGATGTTTAACCAGTTGAATGATAGAGAACATAAAATCCTCCCAGGTCCTCAGGTCCAGATGGCTGTGGAGCTGCTGGGTTTGAAACCCTGTGAGTTCATGAACATGCGCTCTCAGTCTTTAGTGACTGTTTGTTTTCGTGCAGCTGCAGCAGGAAACAGGAAGTGCATGATGAAGCGAGACAGTGAGCGGCTCCACATGGTTTATCACTGACTGAGTGATGGAGCAGTGGAGAACAGTAGATTCTGTTCTGGTCTGGTTGTCTTCAGGTTCATTAACATCAACAGAGACATGAAACAACAGGAAGTCCAATCAGCGCTCGTCAGCTTGAACCGAGACAGAAATCAAACCAGTGATGAAGACGGGAAATGACTCGCTTTAAATCTTTGTTTTCTCAGTTTGTTCTGGAATGAAGACGAACACTTTGATACAGATGCGTCACCAAACTTGTTGGTTTTATTTTCTTGATCATGTTGACAGGTCGAGCCAGGATCCAGTAAAATCTGGTTCTGGAAAAGTCTCGATGATTCATGATCCTGTTTGATTTCTCTCCTCGTCCTGACAGCTGACGATGAAGCTTAAATGCTGTTTATCTTTTTTACCTGTGCTGAATGTTTTTATCTTCCAGAATGCAGCTGCTCAGCGTCCGGACAGGAACGTCTTCAGCGCCGGGTCGACTCGAGTTGGTGAGTAAACCAAACGCTCTCCTGAGTCAATATTAGCTGAGAGGACGGGACGTAAACAAACTGTCAGCAGACGAGTCGTCAGCAGGTGACCTCTGACATTTACCTGAACAGGTGTGACAGCTGACGGTAGGAACAGATATCTGGACACTAATTCATCATCTCTGGACGAATCAAACAGGAAGTGCCGTCAGAGTTAGAGCTGCTACAGGAAACTGTGGTGTTGATTTTGACCCCTATGGATAAAAGCAGTCGTGTTTCCATGAACGCACCACCTCATGTCGTGGCATGTGCGTTTGTTTTGGAAGAGAGTGAAAGAGAGACACAGCGTAGTTTTGAGGTGATGAGGTCACGTGTCTGTTTGTGGCATGATGACGTTGAAACAAAGTCAACCCACGTAGATTCATATATTGATATAAAACAACATCTCTGGATGTATTTTAATAAATAACACAGACATACTGCACACCTGTGCTGATCCTCCGTCTGTTTAACGAGCGACTGAAGTTGTACTTTCATCTCTTTTAGCTCTTTTAGCTCTTTTCTCTTTTAGTTCTTCTTTCTGTTTTTGCTGACCTGCTCCAGTGTCAGCCATAAAATATAACATCAGAAATCAAAATCTCCTTCTGCTTCCTGTCAACATCCTGACGTCTACTCGCTGCAAAACTTTGCCTGAAAAATGTAAAAGTAAAAAAAACCAAACACTTGTTTATAATTGGTAAAACACACAGTTCCCAGTGAAAGAGCTGAGATGTCTCAGTGAAAGTCAACTGCTTTTTATTTTGCTGCCCCTGGTGGAAAAGATTGACCAGTCACTACAAAACAACGTCATTTGGTACCTAAACACTGCTGGAAAAAGGCAGATGAGTCTCTACAGAACACCCCCAATTCAGTGCTACAAAAGCTGCTGGTCAAAGAGCGACCGGTTGCTACTAAACAACCCCATTTGGTGCCTAAAAAGCTGCTGGAAAGGTGCTGATGGATTGCTACAAAACACTGCTGTTTGGGGCCTGAAAGACAGTGGGAAAAGACTGATGAGTTGCTGCAAAAGACACACGTGATGCCAAAAAAGCTGCAGGAAAAAGACGGACAGGTTTCTACAAAACACCTCCGACGGTGGCCAAAAAACTGTTGTGAAAAAGTGACTGCTTGCTACAAAACACCCCCATTCAGTGCCCCAGAAGCTGCTGAAAACAGTGACGACTTGGTGAAATACAACCAGTGTAGCTGTTGGTTGGAGTTGAACCGTGTCTGCAGGTGTCTCTCCGAGGTGTCCCACCATCCACCGTCCCCTCCACCCCCTCAGCTCAGATACTACGTCACTTTAGAGACGTTGATGTGATTGGTGTGAAAAGTATCAGTGATTTTCATATTCGGGTGTGTGTGCAGGATGAGCTAGATGTTTGGCCTGATGGTGGCGCTGTGTTCCTCCTCTGGTTGTGTAATGCCAGCAGTGAGTCTGTCTCTGTGGAGATGTGATGTGTCTGATATGAGGCGCCGGTTTGGACAAAAGTCGGGTGAAAAATGCGAGAGGGAATGAATGCATGTGCGACAGAGGTTAAAGGACCATTACATTCTTGTCAGTGCAGTAGTTCATCAACAGAACAGTCGGTTAAGAGTTCCTCACAATGAAAAGCCTGTTTTTCCTTATTTCTTTTTTGAAAGCAAAATGTGCATTAAATACACAAGTCATAAACTGTGTGGTATTCTTTAATGATGCGTGTGAAACTAGAATTGGGAACTAAAACCATGAGGCCAGCAGAGGCACTACCTGAACCCCCTGAGCACTGGCGTTCTGTTAGGAACTGATGTTTCACTGATGGTTCTCAGTGTGACGAAGTTCCTGTGAAAGTTATGAACTCATAAGTTTTTACCTGGTTTGTAATTTAATGTTTTGAGTTATGGAGTGTCTGATGTATCTATGAGACAACAGCTACAAGAGAGCTGAGGCTGATTTAAACTCAGGTGGTGTTGAGTCACGCTGAGTCGTCTTTAACGTGTCTCAGCGCCTGGTTTGTTTCCCAGGATGCAGTTTGTTGGCAGCAGTTGGACTCACTCAGAACACATGTTGGCGAGATGCAGTCTGGGCCCCCAGGCTCTGTTTGGTTAAACTGATGGTTTGTTTTCCCAGAATGCAGCTTGTTTCATTCTGTGTAAACAAACACTTTATCCTATGTGACATCACCAACAATCAGCCAATAGCAGCTGGGCTAGTGTCAGCAATGATGACAGCATATCAGTGATGGCTTGAATCCTTTGCTCCTATTGGACAGATTTTGTGCTGGCGTGGGAGGAGCCTCTGAGCTCACAGGAGGAGGAGAGCACAGGCGTTAACCCCGCCCACCTGAAGTGGAGGGCATCGTTTCTGAAAAAACTGAGACGCTCAGGACTGCTGCTGGAGCAGGTGAGTAAAACAAACACACCTCAAGTCAACTCAGAGACAAGTGAACAAACAGGAGTGTGTTTGAAGAGTGGGGACTGTTAAACTAATCAGGTCATCCACCTGTTCACCTGTCACCACTCGTCACATGACGTCACCAACAAGTTTATACAGCATCAACCCTCTGCTCCCTGACATGGAGACACTATGAGCAGCCTGGCAAGAGAAATATCATGGAATAGAATAGAAGAAAATAAACACAATAAAGTAATATTAAATTAAATAAAATGAAAAAGGAAATTATATAAAATAATATAAAACAAAAAAATTATGAAATTCAGAATTATTCTGTTCTGATATTTATGATAATGGAGAATGTTTCTTTTTTTATGTTGTGTTGAAGGAAAGAAAGGTCATGAACTTTGTGTATTGTTGTCAAACACATTGTTTTTCCTTCATCTGTTTATTTAAAGATTTTTTTTATTTATTATTAATTTTTTGGTAAATTAAGAAAGGAGAAAAAGAGAAAAGAAAAGAGAAGGGGGGAAGAGGAGGAGAAGAAGAGAAAGAGGGGGGAAGGGAAAAATAAGGTTGAATATAAAAAGTGACCTCTTTGTTTATTTCTTTTAAATATATTTATTTATTTAATTATTTATTTGCTTCATGAATAATTAAATAAATAATTAAATAAATTATTTATTTGCTTCATGAATTAATATGGTTTTGTGGTTTGAATGATCCGTTGTGAAACTTCCTTTTCTTTTTTTAAATGACGTTGACTGTCTGAACTCGTATTTGTAGAGAGATGGAACAAGGACAAAGGAAAGAGAAGGAGGGAAGACAAAACCTTGTATCGATTAAGGTTAATTTTGGTTTAACAACACCTCACTGTATATAACTACACTTGTGGTGTTGTTTTATTTAATTTTTATTTTTAATAAAAAAACAACAACAAATAAATATATAAATAAAATAATATAAAACAAAATAGAATAAAAACACTGAATTAAACAATATAAAATGAAATAAATAAAATAAAACTAAATAAAATAGAAAAAATGAACTACAATCAATTAAAATAAAATAACAAAAAATAAAACAAAAAAATGAATTGAAATCAAGTAACACAAAACAAAAGATAAATAATAATAATAAATAACAAAATAAGAAATTTTAATAAAATAAATCAAAAATAAAATAAAATATAACATAAAATAAAATAAAATAAAACAAAATTAAAATAAATAAAATATAATCAAATAATAAAACAAAACAATAAATAATTCAAATAAAGCAAAAAAGTAAAACACAATATAATATAATGAAATAAAGTAAATTAAAATAAACTAACTAAACAAAACAATACAAAATAAAATAAAACACAATAACTCGTGTAAACATACACACATAATGAACAACAAAGCAAAATAAGTTTTTGTGTCCAACAGTCCTCCACTGACATTTTAGTCCGTCCTCGTCTCGTCAACAAAACTGAAACATTTCAGCTCATCAGTGTCTCGTCTCTGCCGCGGCCTTAAAGGTCGTTGATGAAGATTGTTTGTCATAGTTATGTAGATAAAATGGCCGCTGCTCCACAGGTGGTGACAGACAAAGTGTCTCTGTGTCTCTACAGAAGGAGGTCCTCCGCACGAAGGAGAAGATCTGTTTTGTCCTCCTCAGTGCTCCATGGAGCGTCCTCTGTTACTACGCTGAGGAGATCAGTCTCAGGGTCCCTCTGCAGGTAGAACATGTCGTCATCATCATCATCATCATCATCATCATCATCATCAAGTGTGTCCTCACAGCGTGTCCTCTGTCCTCCTGCAGGAGGTCAACGCTCCCATCACCAACTGGTCGGCGCAGGTTCTGTCCCAGCTGTCCCTCTCCAACCCTCTGTCTCAGGACGTCCCCAACCACCCCCCCGACTACTACACCTGTCAGTTCAGGACCAACAAGCTGCAGAGGTCAGAACACAAAGGTCAAACGTCTGAGACAGTTAAAGTGTCCAACACGTCCTCACCTCAGCTCCTCCCGTATCGCCGCTTTGTCAGTGGACGTTCATGTCCACATATTACACAGTAGATATCCTCCTGCGTCTGCTGCGACGCTGCGATGTCAACAAAATCAAGTGGTTCGGTTTAGAAAAAAACATCATAGTTTGTCTCTGCATTCAAACAGGAAGTGAACAGCAGACTCCAGGGTGAAAGTCCAGGGTTTGTTGGATCCGTCCACCTCCTGTCCAGCTCTTTATATCGTGTCAGTACGGCAGTGTTTCAAACAGACGCCGTCCAGCAGTGCATCATACTGCACCAGGTGCCACACACCAGGGTGACCGCTTGTATTTCATCAGGACATTTATGGGCATGTGTCCCCACAGCGTGCAGGTGAAGGCGGGGCTTTAACTGCTGTGACCCCTCCCATGTGTCCTCATAAGAGGACGTCACATTTTGGGTTTACTTGACCTTACACTTCATTCTGCTTCAGTCAGACCTGTTGTCCTCCACCAGATGGGACACTTTCTGTCCCTTCTGGTGACAGTGAGACCACAGCACACTGATCCATGTAAAAACAAGATGGCTGCCATCTGTGCTGAGTCAGTCTGCAGCTGATGCTAAGACAGAGGTGGACGAGGTCCAAAACCTGATCTAAGTTTAGGGTTCAAACTTTATTTATGATTAATAATGTTTGTAGTTTTACGTGGCAACAAAGTTGACCAACTTTAGCAACAGGAACAAGATGAGATGCTGTTCATAAGGAAGTATCGTGATTGTGTTGTTAACGTGCTAACTGGCTAACTAGCATCAGCACGCTCTTCCTGTATCCCTTTTTGCATGACGAACACAGAGGACTGACAATGCAGCAGTCAGCTCTGATCGCTGTCGTCTTCTGCGGTCGTTTGTTGTGTCTGGACCTTCGGGGCCGGACGGAGGTGACGTGTGAGTTGCGTGTATTCACCGCACCCTCAGTTACAGGATGACGGGTGAAAGCAAGGAAACAATCGGAGGAAGTGGTGTGATGATGTGGTAGTGGTTAATAAGATCGGATCTGTTTCCTGTTTCCTGTCTGCAGGTTTCTGGGGCACGACAACAGAGAGACGTTCTTCAAGACGACTCAGAGACACCAGGTGGTGAGTTTGAACTCAACACGTCGACATGAGTTTAAAAAGAGGAGGTTTCTGAGAAGGATAAAAATAAAAGTCCAGATTCAGCCGGCTGTTGATCGGCTTTATCCCCGGCCCCGCCCCCTCAGAGTCCTTTAAGCCCCGCCCCCCGGAGAAGAAACACCTCTGTGTGTGTCAGCACATTCAACACAACTTTATTTAGGAAACAGCTCGACGGATGTGACACAGAGCTCTGTACGCTGATGTCACACTGAGAAAATCTGTAAAAACAAAATGAACAGGAAGAAAAAAACCTTCGTGTGTCTGTCTGATATTTTTCTGATATTTTGGTTTGTGAAAGTTTGAAATTAATTAATTAAAAGTGAAAATTAAAAAAAGTAAGGATTTCAGTTTTTAATGTAATGCGGCTTTTTTGTTTCAATACACCGGACTGAAATTAAAATTTTCCACTGATGTGATTAACAAAATTAAAAAAAAAAAAAAAAAACAGTTTTAGAAAAGTAAATAACTTTTCTGTTTTTTCTCTACTGGCTTCATTTTTTTTTCTTTTTTTAAACACGAGAAGACGAGAAGAAGGCAGCGAGCAATGAAAGAAGGAAAGAACATTAGTAACAAATTAGTAAAAAGATAAAATTAAAAACAAGAAAATTTGCAACAAAAAAATTAATAAGAACAAAGAAAAGAAAAGAAAAGAAAAAAAAACAAGTAAACAACCCGTCAGGATGGGTCAAGATCAGCCAGGATCAGTCAGGATCAGGATCAGTCAGGATAAGGATTAGGATCAGCCAGGATCAGTCAGGATCAGCCAGGATCAGTCAGGATCAGGATCAGTCAGGATCAGGATCAGTCAGGATGGGTCAGGATCAGTCAGGATCAGGATCAGTCAGGATGGGTCAGGATCAGTCAGAATCAGTCAGGATCAGTCAGAATCAGTCAGGATCAGTCAGGATCAGGATCAGTCAGGATGGGTCAGGATCAGTCAGGATCAGTCAGGATCAGGATCAGTCAGGATGGGTCAGGATCAGTCAGAATCAGTCAGGATCAGTCAGAATCAGCCAGGATCAGTCAGGATCAGTCAGGATCAGGCTCAGTCAGGATGGGTCAGGATCAGTCAGAATCAGTCAGGATCAGTCAGAATCAGTCAGGATCAGTCAGGATCAGGATCAGTCAGGATGGGTCAGGATCAGTCAGGATCAGTCAGAATCAGTCAGGATGGGTCAGGATCAGTCAGGATCAGTCAGGATCAGTGTACTGGCTGATAATCGATGTTGGAAATGTCCGACAGGACCAGGAACATCTCTGTGTGTGTTCTGGGAATATAAACTGGTTTTAAATCATTTTGGGTTCAAAAGTTGTGGGTCACAGAGGGAAGAGGTCGAGTTAGACCAGGGTGCTATATCGTAGGCAACTGGACTTGCTCGAGTTTCTTGGAGTCATTCCACCTCTTGGCTGTGGCTCAGAGGTAGAGCGGGTCGTCCACCAATCGGAAGATTAGTGGTTCGGTCCCGGGCTCCTCCAGGCTGCGTGTTGAAGTGTCCTTCAGCAAGATATTGAACCCCAAACTGCTCCTGATGGCTGTTCCATCGGTGTGTGTTAAAACTGAGTAGCAGGTGGCACCTTGTAGGGTAGCCTCGGCCACAAGTGTATGAATGTGTGTGTGAATGGGTGAACGTGACTCGTAGCGTAAGAAGCGGTTTGAGTGGTCACTAGATGACTAGAAAGGTGCTACACAAATGCAGGTCCATTCTACCATTTACCTCTCATCCAACAGTTCAGCTCTAACAGACTGGTGCAGATTCGCAGGCTTTAAACTCTGTGTGGGGACTCCAGACACTGGTGGAGGTGGAGGTGGAGGTGGTGGCTGATGACTCTGAGGCCGATGAATTTGAGAAGACGAGGCGGTGATGGGGAGGTGGAGGGCGCACACAGCTGCAGCATGAAAGGACTGTGGGCAGAGAAAGAGCCGGGTTTAACATGAGGAGCAGTGAGATGATAGGCTGACGGAGAAGGTGTGTAGCTGTGCTATTGGTTGATTGGGAATCAGCTGTTGACTCGATTGACACCCCCAAACACTGACCGCCGGAGACGGAGTGTGAGCATGAGTGCGAGGAGTGAACGGCAGGGGGAGGAAGAAAGTTACAGCCTGAGCATGACAAAGTATTTTCCTCACGTGCCGTGCAAACGCAGTATTTTGCCAGAATTGTGCCAGGATTTCCCTGTGACGGCCGCAGGAGGTTGTTTGTGTCTTCATCATGGCTTTACCTTACGTTACAGTACGTTACAGTACGTCACAGTACGTTACAGTATGTCACAGTACGTTACAGTACGTCACCTTACGTTACAGTACGTTACAGTACGTCACAGTACGTTACAGTACGTTACAGTACGTCACAGTACGTTACAGTATGTCACAGTACGTTACAGTACGTCACCTTACGTTACAGTACGTTACAGTACGTCACAGTACGTTACAGTACGTTACAGTACGTCACAGTACGTTACAGTATGTCACAGTACGTTACAGTACGTCACCTTACGTTACAGTACGTTACAGTACGTCACAGTACGTTACAGTACGTTACAGTACGTCACAGTACGTTACAGTATGTCACAGTACGTTACAGTACGTCACCTTACGTTACAGTACGTTACAGTACGTCACAGTACGTTACAGTACGTTACAGTACGTCACAGTACGTTACAGTATGTCACAGTACGTTACAGTACGTCACCTTACGTTACAGTACGTTACAGTACGTCACAGTACGTTACAGTACGTTACAGTACGTCACAGTACGTTACAGTATGTCACAGTACGTTACAGTACGTCACCTTACGTTACAGTACGTTACAGTACGTCACAGTACGTTACAGTACGTTACAGTACGTCACAGTACGTTACAGTATGTCACAGTACGTTACAGTACGTCACCTTACGTTACAGTACGTTACAGTACGTCACAGTACGTTACAGTACGTTACAGTACGTCACAGTACGTTACAGTATGTCACAGTACGTTACAGTACGTCACCTTACGTTACAGTACGTTACAGTACGTCACAGTACGTTACAGTACGTTACAGTACGTTACAGTACGTTACAGTATGTCACAGTACGTTACAGTACGTCACCTTACGTTACAGTACGTTACAGTACGTCACAGTACGTTACAGTACGTTACAGTACGTCACAGTACGTTACAGTATGTCACAGTACGTTACAGTACGTCACCTTACGTTACAGTACGTTACAGTACGTTACAGTACGTCATAGTACGTCACCTTACGTTACAGTACGTCACAGTACGTTACAGTACGTCACAGTATGTTACAGTACGTTACAGTGCGTTACAGTACGTTACAGTGCGTTACAGTACGTTACAGTACGTCACCTTACGTTACAGTACGTTACCTTACGTTACAGTACGTCACAGTACGTTACAGTACGTCACAGTACGTTACAGTACGTCACAGTACGTTACAGTACGTTACAGTACGTCACAGTACGTTACAGTACGTCACAGTACGTTACAGTACGTCACAGTACGTTACAGTACGTTACAGTACGTTACCTTACGTTACAGTACGTTACCTTACGTCACAGTACGTCACAGTACATTACAGTACGTTACCTTATGTTACAGTACGTTACAGTATGTTACAGTACGTTACAGTACATTACCTTACGTTACCTTATGTTACAGTACGTTACAGTATGTTACCTTACGTCACAGTACGTTACAGTACATTACATGCCATGCAAACATGGAATTTCGCCTTCATTACTTTGGAATTTTCCTGGGAGTTTCCCCCTAAAGGCCGCAGGAGGTCGTTGTTTTCATGATTCTGTTTAAATCGATCTGAAATAAAAACCATTCAGTCGGCACGGTGTCATCACGCCGTACGCTCGTAACAGCCTCACATTAAGCGTGGTGCATAAACGCACGGTGGCGCAGCACCTTTCAGGATTCCCACTGTCATGGGAAACCTGGAAAAGTCACAGAATTTCACAATCACATTTTCCAGGCCTGGACGTTTTGGGAAAGTCCTGGAATATTGCTGTGTGTGAAGAAGTTGTAATGTGAGATGAGCCGATGTATTTTCTGTAGCTGTCGACATTACGGCGTTTTGTTTACCATCACGTACGTGCCTTTATCTTCCTCTCCCTCCCTGTACGCCTACAAACTAAAATTATGTTTAACTTAAGTTTGATATGTTTGAAAAACAGTGGGCAAGAAAAAAAAGAAAGAATTATAGGTCCTTGAAATTTTTTCCGTGAAACTGAACCCTAACCTTCAGACTCTGCTCATATCTCAAAAACTAAATAATCAAAACAGGTCAAATGATGTTAAAAAATGCGTTAAAAAATATTTGTTTCTGCATTTAAAAACCTTTTGGATTAATATGTTTTGTTTTTTAATTTTTTTTAAAATCTGATGAAAAAATATCAGGTTATTGTACATTAAAAAAATGATTCAGTTCCAATACTTGTATTAATTATTCTGGTTTATTCACTCATAAACTTTCAGCTCAGGTTGTACAGATTTTAGGGACATGATGCATTTAAAGACGCTCCAGGAAATGACATCACAATAAGCAAAACCACCAGTGTAGGCTCTGGAGGAGCGTTTGTAACGCAGAGCTCAAAGGGTTAATTACACAATGATACCAATAAATAAATGATAATAATCCTGAGCAGATATTATTCATGTGTTTTCATCTGAGGACGAAGTGTGAGCTGCAGGACTTAGAGTCTGGGTGGAGGCGTGGCCATCACACTCTGCTCTGATTGGTCCACAGATGTTGAGCCAGGACCTCTCAGATGTCAGGATGTGTCAGTCAGCAGACGGATGCTGCAGGCGGCGACGCCTCCTCCTCAAACACAGGCTATAAAAACACACACATTTACAAGAGCTGTAAACCTTTACACACACACACACACACAGGAGATCAGATAAAGAAACCTGTCACTGTTTGTCCTGCGTGGACTGAAAACCAAGTGAATCTCATCGCCGCACAGTTTTAATTAAATATATAAAACAATATTAAAACCACGTCAGTGTGACAGCGAGTCGGCCTCTGAGGGCGTCTCTGTTCCCACAACATGATTTAGTTTCAAACATTTTCCTCTGACAGATTTCCAGAGGAGCTGAGAAACTAATGTGTCAGATTCAGGAGGACTCACTGACGTCCGTCAGTGAAGAGCCGAAACTTCTCCCGGTCAGAATTCCTTCAGTGTTGAGTGTTGAGGAGCTGAGTTACCCACAGACATCTCTTCTTCTCAGAAACACACAGAGCAGCTGATTTGAACCAGGAAACACTCTGAAGAAACAGGTTCAGGTTTAAAACTAAAAAATCAGTGTTTGTTGCAGATGGGTGTCTAACTGTGGAGCCAACTCTGAAACATTTTTGTCTGAATGTTCAACTTTACCTGACTGTTTTTTTCATGGACTATTCTGACTTTGTTGTCTCAAAATAATATTTTGTTCCTCTAAAATTGTTTTATATTACTCAACTTTTTTTCTTAAAATATATGAAGATGTTAATTTTAATTAATTATTTTAACTTTCTTTCTCTGAAATGTTTCCACATTACTCACCTTTTTTTCCTTGATATCTTACGACTTTATTCTGTTAAAATATATGATGACTTTTTTCTTAAAAATGCTTTTACATCACTCAACTTTTCTTTTGGAACATTACCACTTTGTTGTCTCAAAATATTACGCCTCCTTGTCTCTAATTTTTTTTTACATTAATCGTCTTTTTTTCTCAAAATATATAAAGACTTTTATTCTTTAAATATCACAACTTTTTCGACCTTTTGCCGCGATATGTTACAGATTTTTCTTTGGTCAAAATCTATTACGACTTTTTCTCTTTGAATATTTCAAAAATTTAAATTTACCCACAGTTTTTCTTGGAATATTTTGGCTTTGTTGTCTCAAAACATAAAGACTGTTTTCTCCGAAATGTTTTGATATTATTCAACTTTTTTTCTCAAAATATACTGTATGAAAAACATATGAATTTTTGTCTGAAGTGTTTACTTGATATATTTTATTTTGAAACATTAAGACTTTTTTTCTTGAAGTGTTACAACTTTTTTGTTTTCCAAATATTACCAGGGTCATTACTGAAACTTCTCCCATGTGCCAGGCATGTAGGAGATCTATGATGGTCGACATGAAAACGTGAATGGAGGTGTTTTGTAGCAACTCATCAGTTTTTTTCCCAGCAGCTCTTTGGACACCAGACATGGATGTTTCGTGGCAACCTGTTGGTCTTGGTTGGTCTCATTACAGCGGGGTTAATTATCCAATGAAGCGATTGTTTTCGGGGCTCTCAAAAAACAATCAGAGGTGGTTTGTTGTAGTGCGGCGTGTGTCCTCGCAGTGACCGTGTCCTGTCTCTGCAGCTGTATGAGATCCTGGCCAGGACTCCGTACGGTTCGGTGAAACGGGGGGAGGTGGGAATCGACCGACTGCTGGCTGAGCAGGTCTTCACTGCTGCCTACCCGCTGCATGAGGTGAGCTATTAACCATCATCCTAAACCTGAACCCAAACCTGACCTTAGTCCTGACCCCTGGTCTGAGACGGCACTGAGACACTAAGACTTTACCACGACACTGTGAGTTGTAAATATTCATATTTAGCTGAAAATGAATCTTTGTGTTGGCAGGGTGGTTTCGAGCTGCCGAGCGACTCGGTGCCTCCGGAGTCTTTGGGTCTGAGACAGATCTTGTACTCGCACTGGGCCAAGTGGTCCTCCTGGAGACGCTACCAACCTCTGGATCACATCAGGGAATACTTCGGAGAAAAGATAGCGCTGTATTTTGCCTGGCTCGGTAACTATGGCAACCATTCCAGCAGCTAACCGCCGTTAACTGTTTGTTTGAGCACTAACTGTGTCTGACTGCAGGTTTCTACACTGGCTGGCTGCTGCCGGCGTCGCTTGTTGGGACGGTGATCTTCGTGTTTGGGTTCTGGCTCATGGCCACTGACGTTCCAGCGTAAGTTCAAACTTGGACTTCAGGACACAACCTGTATAATGTTTGGACATCAGTGTCCCACAATCCTTTGCATCAATCTGATTGAAATGAACCCTTCTTGGTTTCAATCAACATTTTCCTCTCGAACAAATTATGTAGATATTAATGTTTGTCTGTTTATATGCTGACGACACTTGGCTTTATGGACACAGTCATTTAGACTCTTACAGGTTGTCTGCGTCCTATCAGGAGGTAAACAACTGTTTATTGTTGTTGTTGTGTTTGTGCAGGAAGGAGTTGTGTGAGAGTGGAGGCAGCTTCATCATGTGTCCTCTCTGTAACATCTGCTCCCTATGGAACTACTCCAGCATCTGTGTCACCTTCAAGGTACGAATCCGTCCACCTGTCTGTGATGTCAGTGTGCTTCATGTCATCTCGTCAGATGGTTCAACAGCATCTGAACCCCCCCGCCCCAAACCCTCACTCAGTGATTGGTCACTGCCCACGTCTTTGTGTTGTGTTGGAACAAACAGTGAGTCCACCTCTCCTCATGTGTCTCTCTGCAGGCAGGTATCATGTTTGATAATGGAGGGACAGTGTTCCTTAGTGTCTTCATGTCTCTGTGGGCCGTCACTTTCCTGGAGTACTGGAAGAGAACCTGTTCAGCTCTGGCACACCGCTGGGACTGTTCCGAATTCCAGGACATTGAGGTACCGCCCCCAACTCTGGACTCTTGTCTTGTCTTCCCTTTCCTTTCTTATATTTCCTTTCCTCAGCTTAGCTTAGCTTTCCTCGCCCTTCCTTTCCTTTCCTTTCCTTTCCTTTCCTTGCATTTCCTTGCATTTCGTTGTATTTCATTTCCTTTCCTTACCACTCCTTACCCTAGCTTACCTTAGCATAGCTTGGTGCAGCTTAGCTTTCCTTTCTTTCTTTTCCTTACCTTACTATACCTTTGTTTAGCGTAGGCACCAAATGCAGGTGTTGTGTGGTGACCCACCAGCATCCTTCCAGCTGCCCTTTGGGCACCAAAGGGGATGTTTTGTAGCCACTCATCGGTTTTTCCAGCATCTTTTTAGGCCCCAGTCAGGGGTGGTTTTTAGAAACCAGGAGCTTTTGGGCCACTAAATGTTGGTGTTTTGTAACAACTTGTCTGTCTTTTTCCAGTGGTTTTGGGCACTAATCAGGGGGTGCTTTGTAGCAACTTGTTTGTCCTGTTCCAGCTGTTTTTCAACAACAAATTGGTGTGTTTTGTAACAACCTGTCACTTTGTAGCAACTTGTTTGTCTTTTTCCAGCAACTTTTTGTCCATTAAAGAGAGGATGTTTTGTAGCAACTCGTTTGTCCTGTTCCAGCTGTTTTTAGGCACCAAACGAGGGTGCTTGTAGCGACCTGTCAGTTCTTTTCCACTGGCTGTTTAGGCCCCAATTGCGGGTGTTTTGTAGCCACTTGTCTGTCTTTTTCAGCTGTTTTTTTAGGCACCTAACGGAACTGTTTTGTAGTGACCTGTCAGCTTCTTTCTGGGGGCTTTTTGGGCACCAAAGGCAGGGTGTTTTGTAGTCACATGTCTGTCTTTCTTCAGCATTAAACAGAGGTGTTTTGTAGCAACTTGTTTGTCTTTTTCCAGTGGCTTTTTCGGAAATAAACGCCGTTGTTTTGTCGCGACCAGTTGTTCTTTTTCCACCAGGGACAGTGCCACAGAAAGCAATTGTCTTTTATCAAGACATCGCTTCTCTTCCAGTGGGAACTGTGTGTTTGGGCCAAATCATGATCACACATTAACCACACGTTAATCACAGCATTGCTGAAACATGAAGTTTGACCGTATCTGCTACATAACAATATGCAGATGTAACGTATCCTTGTTTTACAGGAACATACAAACATTATTACAGGTGTTCTGATTCACACTGATGTTAAAGATCTCTAAAACTAATATTATCATTATGAATATATGCCCAACACTCACATTAAGGCGACGTCACATCATCACATGATCAATAAATATATAAACATCTTGGGTTGCAGGGGTTTCTGGGAGATCATGACTGTCATCCCTGTGTCCTCCACAGGAGCGTCCTCGTCCAGAGTTCACGGCCTTGGCGCCAATGACCACGCGGAACCCGGTGACCGGAGCAGAGGAACCATACTTTCCTGAGAGTAAACGCATGAACAGAACTCTGACTGGCTGCATGGTCATCGTCGTCATGGTGAGTCTCCTGACCTTTGACCCTTAACCTTTGTGTTCTCTGACGCTGGGACATTCTGGAAGGTTTCCTCCACAACATGGAGCAGTGGGTGGAGTTTAAAGATGGAGTTCCTCTTAAAGTTTTCCTATGAGAAACAGCTGGTGTGCCGATTGGTTGTGATGTCACAGGTGTGACCGGTCCGTACACTGGTCAATCTGTGTTGTTGACGCAGGAGTTACTGAGTGAATACACTGATGCGTGTCAACATGATATCTCAAGAACGCCTCAAGGGAATTTCCTTGAATTTGGCACAAATCTCCACTTGGACCCGACGATGAATTGATTAGATTTTGATGGCCATAGGTTACAGGTCAAGGTTACTATGACCTTGCGTCTGTCTCATTCTTGTGAATGTGATAGAATTTTGTGGTCAAAGGTCAAATGTATTTTCAACGTACAAGAATATAAACATCATTATAAGTTTAACTCCTCCTCAGATGTGGATAGCATTAAGGTGAACATTATGTGTGCAGGTTGTGGTCGTGCTGATGTTCCTCATCGCCATCATTCTGTACCGCACCATCCTCAGAATCATCATCTACAAGTCCAACAGCTTCTTAACCTTCTCTGTGAGTACAACACCACACGCCTTTAAATCTGTGTCAGGGTTCATACAAACATCAGAAACTCCTGGACGCCACCTTGAGGGACGCCACCTTGAGGGACGCCACCTTGAGGGACGCCACCTTGAGGGACGCCACCTTGAGGGACGCCACGAGGTCACGTTTATACCTCTGAGCAGACGATAGCTGTGGCTGCAGCCATGTTCTGTCTGTTTGACCATCCCGTTCATGAACACAGTATCTCATGAACTTTTTTCCAAATGTGGTACAAACATCCAATTTGACTTAAGGATGAACTTTTCATAATTTGGTGGTCAAATGTCAAGGTCACTGTGACCTTGCATTCATCTCATTTCATGAAAGTGATATTTCAAAAAGGTCCTGAGGATAATTTGGCACAAATGTTCATAAGGACTCAAGGATTAAGTGATTCAGATTTAGTGGCCAAATGTCAAAGGTCAAGGTCACCATGATTTTGCATTCGTCTCATTTGCATGAACGCAATATCTCAAAAAGGCCTTGATGGAATTTCTTCAAATTTGGCACAAACATCCACTTTGAGTCAAGAAAAGTTAAGGCCACTGTGACCTTGTCTGTTGCATTCTTGTCAACACATTATCTCAAGAATGCTTTGAGGGAATTTCTTCAAATTTGGCACAGACGTTCACTTGGACTCAACAATGAAGTGATTCAGATTTAGCAGCCAAAGGTAAAAGGTCACTGTGACCTTGCATCCATTTCACTCTTGTGAACACAGTATCTCAAGAAGAACTTGGTGGAATTTCTTCAAATTTGGCACAAATGTCCACTGGGACTCCTAAAAGATTGATTAAAATTTAGTGGCCAAAGGTCAAAGGTTAAGGTCACCAGGACCTTGCATTCAACTCATTCTTGGGAACGTGATATCTCAAGACTATCTCAAAACACCTCGAGGGAATTTCTACATATTTTGCACAAACATCCACTTTGAGTCAAACATGAAAAATATTAGAATTTGGTGGACAAAGATTAAAGGTTAAGGTCACTGTGACCTTGTCGGTTGCAGGAATGTGAATGCAGTATTTCAAAACTCTTTGAGGGAATTTCTCCAAATTTGGCACAAACTTTCATTTGGACTCAAGGATGAAGTGATTAAGATTAGTGGCCAAAGTTCAAGTTCACTCTCACCTTGAGATCCATCTCATTCGCGTGAATGCAATGTCTCAATTACACTTTGAGGGAATTTCTTCAAATTTGGCACAAACATCCACTCTGTGTCAAGGATGACCTGAACAGAATTTGGTGGGCAAAGCTCAAAGTCACTGTGACCATTTCTTTCTCATTTCATTAAAGCAGTATCTCATAAAGGCCTAGAATTTCCTCAAATTTGGCACAAACGTCCACTTGGACTCATGATTGAACTACTTGCAATTTGGTGGTCAAAGGTCAGCTTCACTGTGACATCATCATGTTTTCACAGACATGGATGGAAACTGTCAGACAAACTTTACTGGTGGGCGGAGTCATACGACCAAGAGGTGCTGACTGGAGTCGTTACTTATTTAATATTAACCTGATTTCAAAAAGTGTGTGTATGTGTGTATGTGTGTGTGTGTGTGTGTGTGTGTGTCTACAGGCCGGGAGGATAGCCAGTATCACAGGATCTGTGTTGAACCTGGTGGTCATTCTCATGTTGTCCAAATTTTACACGTCGCTGGCCCACATACTCACACACTGGGGTGAGTCACATCTTCCTCCTCTCCCTCCTCATCCTCAGCTTCACACTTTTATAAAAGAAATAATTTTATCTGTTAGTCTGGTCCTGATGAAAGCAGACATTTAATTTTGTTTTTGGTCTGAGCTCCAGTTTGGTTTTGTGTCTTTGTTCAAAAGATTTTACTGATGAATTTTTTTTCTTGTAGCTTTTATTCACAATTTTAATTCAGTATTTTCCTGGAGTTTAAGAGGTCGATTATTGATCATGTTTAATAATAATAAAGTCCCAGTGTCCTCAGATGAGTACTTCCTAATGAACAGCGTCTTATCTTGTTCCTGTTGCTGAAAATGGTCAACTTTGTTGCCATATCAAACTACAAACATTATTAATCATAAATAAAGTTTGAACCATAAACTGCGGTCAGGTTTTGGACCTCGTCCACCTCTGTCTTAGGATCGGCTGCAGCCTGTCACAGCAGAGATGGCGGCCATCTTGTTTTTACATGGATCAGCGTGTTGTAGTCTCACTGTCACCAGAAGGGACAGAAAGTGTCCACGAATGAGGACAAGACGTCTGAGTGTGTGTGTATATACACACTGTTCATGTGTGTGTTTTGTTGTCTCTGTCAGAGATGCATCGCACTCAGAGTAAATATGAAGACATGTTCATCCTCAAAGTTTTCATCTTCCAGTTCGTCAACTTCTACTCGTCTCCGGTTTACATCGCCTTCTTCAAAGGCAGGTGAGAACTGCTGCTTCTTCTTCTTCTTCTGTTTTCAGCCGTCCCTCCCATCTCATTTCATCCCTTTATTTTTTGTCTTTCGTTTTCTTCGTACACATTTGTGGTCGACCTGTTCTCATACTGAAGTTGTCACCACCGCCGCTTGGTCAGTGATTTGTGTGTCCTGTGTCAGCGTGGGTTTCCTCCAGGTGCTCCGACATGTTCTGTGTGTCAGTCCTGTGATAGTCTGATGACCTGTCCAGGGTGAACCCCGCCTCTCACCCAGTGTCAGCTGCGATAGGCTCCACCCCCCCACGACCCCTAACAGGATAAGTGGTTGCAGCAAACGACGTCCCTGAACGTCAACAACAGACGCACTCAGGATACCCAGCGTGTTACATGTAGCAGTCAAAAGTCCAGTGACCAGGCGGCGATGTGTGACGAGTCAGGATGAGAACGTGTTGTTGGTGATCTCACTGGGCTGAAACAGGAAGGACTCAGATTCTCAGTTTATACTTTCAAAGTAAAACCAATCTAATGAAGCTGCAGGCTGAGGTTTCCTCAGCTGGTGTGAACTCTGAACTGAACAAGTCAAAAGCAGCAGTGAGGCTGAAGGTGGAGCCACAGCGCCGCCTGCAGGCTGATGATGAAAACATCCAGAACCAACTGTTTGTCTGAACTGCTGCAACCAAACATGATTCAAACCCTCAAACCTTTATTCCTCAGTTCTGAAAGTTTGTGTCTGTGAATGAAGCAGCGGACATGTTGAACCGTATGATGCTGACTGACAGAGAGGAAGAGCTTCATCATCTTCAATCAGCTGCTTTGTTTGTGTCTCCTCAGGTTCATCGGTTACCCTGGAAACTACCAGACTCTGTTTGGAGTTCGTAACGAAGACGTGAGTCAGTCACACTGTGGTGCTGATGATGATGATGATGATGATGATGATTTCCTGTTTGTTTTCCCCGTCAGTGTTTCAGTGTCTTAAAAACACTTCAGCCTGACGTGGTGTTGAACCGTCAGCCGTGTGACGAGAGGTTAAAACACTCAGTCAGGTCTGCAGCTCGTTAACTCTGAAGTCTTCTGGATTAAATATTCCTAAATTTTCATTTGTGAGGTCGTTATTATTAATAATAATAATAATGATAATACATTATACTTATGTAGCGCTTTTCAAGGCACTCAAAGACGCTTTACAAATTCAGAGACAAAACAAAAAAGTTGCAGTACGTGTTGCAGTGATGAGTGGGGGAGGGGCTGGAGAGCAGGCCTGATTTAAGAACAGACATCCTGCGGTCGGCTGATGAAGATCGTTGTTTGCATGACTCACAGAACAGAACACTGAGTCACTTCCTGACCTCAGCTTGTGCTGTGTTTGTTTTGTACTCGGAGGTCGGAGGTCGGAATACATCAGTTGTCGCATTTTAGTTGACGACGGTGGACAAGTCGGAAAAAGACATGGACGTCAGCAAGAAAGCCTTTGTTGCCCTTGAACTTTCGGAGTATAGACAGCTTCAAAACCATCATGCACTCCAACTGATGAACGCCGCAGATGAGGCTGACCTGATGTAAAACAAATAAGATAAAGTTGCTGTAAACAGTACTCAGGTCCTGTTTAGACGACGGTTTCTCTAAAAACGGAAAAGTCTGTCCTTTGCGTTTTAAAAAACTTCTGCGTTTATATGACAACGTTATTGAAATGATCTCCGTTCACACGGAGCCGCAAAATCTACTGGAAACGCTGTAGCATGCACGCCAGGCCAATGGGTGGCAGTGTAAATTTGCAAAGCAACACCACAGCATGACGCCATGCACCTGCACTGAAGCGCCTTCCTCTGCAGCGCCGTGATTACAAACCAAAACAAAGAAGACACAATGGTGAAAGCGTGCACAGATAACTTTGACTGGACGGATGACGAGGTGGAGTTGCTACAGTAACAGATCTTCACTTCACTTCAAATCAACAGGCTGAGCAGCACAAACAGAGCTCAGCGTTGTTGTTGTGACGGTCGGCGTGTCTAGTGACTGGAACCATAATGCACATGTGCGAAAAGTCTCCGTTTTCAGAGGAACTGCGTATTGCACGTTTACATGACAACGGAGATGCTGCCGTTTCCAAAAAGTTGCACTCTGGAACCCGTTTTCAAGATGTTGCATTTTGAGGCACCCAAAACACCACTGCCGCAACTAAAGTTGACCGTTTTCAGTTGAAATCGTTGTCATATAAACGGGACCTTAGAAGAGTGTTTAGTCACTCTGTATGTGACCAGCAGCCATCTTGAATTTGTAAGTTGGGGTTGATGCGGTTGCTCTGAGTTTCTGAGTTGGAAATCCAATCTCAGGGTGCGTTCAAGTTTAAACTTCCGACTGGGAACTGGGAATTTCCGACCTCTGAGTACAAAACGAACGCACCATTACCTGCCACGCAAACATGGCCGCCATGACAGCCGCAGGAGGTCATTGTTTGCATGATTTTATCTGTGCCTCAGTGCAGGGGCTGCAGCCTCTGAACTGAGGCACAGCTGCTGTTTACGTCCCTCTGAAATAAGAAAAGCTACAACATTCATCCAGCAGAAAAGCTCCTGATGACATCACTGCGCTTTGTGACCTGCTGCAGCGCCGGAGGAATCAGTGATGAAACTACAGTACAGGCCAAAAGTTTGGACACACCTTCTCATTCAATGCGTTTTCTTTATTTTCATGACTATTTACATTGTAGATTCTCACTGAAGGCATCAAAACTATGAATGAACACATGTGGAGTTATGTACTTAACAAAAAAAGGTGAAATAACTGAAAACATGTTTTATATTCTAGTTTCTTCAAAATAGCCACCCTTTGCTCTGATTACTGCTTTGCACACTCTTGGCATTCTCTCCATGAGCTTCAAGAGGTAGTCACCTGAAATGGTTTTCCAACAGTCTTGAAGGAGTTCCCAGAGGTGTTTAGCACTTGTTGGCCCCTTTGCCTTCACTCTGCGGTCCAGCTCACCCCAAACCATCTGGATTGGGTTCAGGTCCGGTGACTGTGGAGGCCAGGTCATCTGCCGCAGCACTCCATCACTCTCCTTCTTGGTCAAATAGCCCTTACACAGCCTGGAGGTGTGTTTGGGGTCATTGTCCTGTTGAAAAATAAATGATCGTCCAACTAAACGCAAACCGGATGGGATGGCATGTCGCTGCAGGATGCTGTGGTAGCCATGCTGGTTCAGTGTGCCTTCAATTTTGAATAAATCCCCAACAGTGTCACCAGCAAAACACCCCCACACCATCACACCTCCTCCTCCATGCTTCACAGTGGGAACCAGGCATGTGGAATCCATCCGTTCACCTTTTCTGCGTCTCACAAAGACACGGCGTTTGGAACCAAAGATCTCAAATTTGGACTCATCAGACCAAAGCACAGATTTCCACTGGTCTAATGTCCATTCCTTGTGTTTCGATTTCTGAGGCTGGTGACTCGGATGAACTTATCCTCAGAAGCAGAGGTGACTCTTGGTCTTCCTTTCCTGGGTCGGTCCTCATGTGTGCCAGTTTCGTTGTAGCGCTTGATGGTTTTTGCGACTCCACTTGGGGACACATTTAAAGTTTTTGCAATTTTCCGGACTGACTGACCTTCATTTCTTAAAGTAATGATGGCCACTGGTTTTTCTTTAGTTAGCTGATTGGTTCTTGCCATAATATGAATTTTAACAGTTGTCCAATAGGGCTGTCGGCTGTGTATTAACCTGACTTCTGCACAACACAACTGATGGTCCCAACCCCATTGATAAAGCAAGAAATTCCACTAATTAACCCTGATAAGGCACACCTGTGTATATCACAAGACCTTTTCACTCCGCTCATTAAAATGATCATAACTCGGAAACTAAAACATGAAGTCAGGTCAGAGAACTGACGGAGTGTGAAGAAATATTTTATGTTTCTACGTTTAAAAATCTGTCCGATCAAAATATTGTTTTTTTATTTTATTTTATTTAAATCTGATGACAAAACATCTGATTTTTGCTTTTTTGAAAAATTAAAACAGTTCCAATACTTATATCAATTATTCTGGTTTATTGACTTCTATAATCTTTAAGTTCAGAAATGAAGGATTTGAATTTGTAGATGCTCCAGGAAATGACATCACAATCAGTAAAAATACGCCTGTAGGCTCTGTCACAATGTTCAAAGGGTTAAAGTGTGTGTGTGTGTGTGTGTGTGTGTGTGTGAGAGACAGTGTGGAGCAGGTGGGTGTCTGATTGAACTGGCTCAGGAGCTGCTCATCATCATGGTGGGAAAACAGCTGATCAACAACGCCCAGGAGTTCATCTGCCCGTAAGAGTGCGCACACACACACACACACACACACACACACACACACACACACACACACAAAACAAAAACAAGGTTATAACTTCCATTTTAGTGTAGAGCGTCAGACTGAATTTACCAACGCACCATGTCAGGTCACTCACTCTCCGGGACCGCCAGTGTTACTTGAATAAGTAAACACTGACCAACGGGACCAGACTGGCCGACCCGTATGCTCTCACTCAGTGGATGGATGATGTCACAGGAAGCCAATCTTACAAAGGAGGACCACACTTGTTTGTTTTGCTATGGAAGCTAACGTTAGCTAATGTGCTAAAAAGTTAGCGTTGCAGAGAAATCCAATCTTCCTCTTAATCCCTCCCCAGTTTCTGATGAGGTGGACATGATAACCCTTAATACACATAACCTTATTCATCCCTACAACAGGAAATACTTTAGATCGTATCTGGTGCAAAGAATCTAACGTGAACGAGATGCTAATCTGTAAATGGAATAACTTCTGAGAATGAGATCATAACAAACAAAATATCTTGTGAGAAGAAAAAACTTAAAAACTTTATGCAGTGATTTTTGTCTTTACGTCGTCAAAGTTGTGTCACAAACAAGTCATGTGACCTCATTTATAAAACTTTGTTTAGGATCCAAACTCAAATGTACGTTCAAACAAAACAAAAATTCATCAGCTTCTACAGTCGGGCGTCCTCCTCACCGTCATGTCCCGTGTCCAACATGTTGGTTATCATGGGTCACAGTTTCTCCATCAGGTCTGTTTTCATACATCACGACTTTAGCGTGTGAAGTGGCGTCCGCCTCTGTCAGGCCCCGCCCCGTTCATACGCAGTGTTTATAAATGTCTGATAACAGATCCGACTCTTCTCTAGCTGAAACTGACGGCTCATTATTTGGCAGGAAGCTGAAGTCATGGTGGCAGAACAGGAAGACGGGTAGTCGGCTGAAGGAGGTGAAGAAGGAGGAAGGAGTGGAGGCTCAGAGGGAGGTGAAGGGGGAGGAAGAGGAGGAGGTGTCTCCCTGGGAGGCAGATTACCAGCTGCTGGTGTGTGAGGGACTCTTCAGCGAATACCTGGAGATGGGTGAGTCTGATTTCTACTCCTGGAGCTGCCGGGCGGGTGGTGTTAACATTGAGGGGTTTATTAAATGTCATCCTCTTCCTCCTCCTCTTCCTCCTCCTCAGTGATTCAGTTTGGTTTCATCACCATCTTCGTGGCGGCGTGTCCCCTCGCTCCGCTCTTCGCCCTCTTTAATAACTGGGTGGAGATTCGTTTGGACGCTCAGAAGTTTGTTACTGAATATCGCCGCCCAGTGGGGGAGCGCGCTCAGGACATCGGCATCTGGTTTCCCATCATGCAGTTCATCACACATGTGGCCGTCCTCTGCAACGTGAGACTCTGTTTTTCTACCTCTGTGAGGACCAGGTCCACATTTATATCACCAACAAATCACATCCTCCGAACCTGTGTCTGCAGGCGTTTCTCATCGCGTTCACCTCGTCCTTCGTACCCCGTCTGTACTACCGCTACACCAGAGACAGCACGCTGAGCGGCTTCATCAACTTCACTCTGGCAACATCACCACGCAACTACAGCCGTGAACACACACCCTGCAGGTAGGCAACATCACTGCAACACACCCTGCAGGTAGGCAACATCACTGCAACACATCCTGCAGGTAGGCAACATCACTGCAACACATCCTGCGGGTAGGCAACATCACTGCAACACATCCTGCGGGTAGGCAACATCACTGCAACACACCCTGCGGGTAGGCAACATCACTGCAACACACCTTGCAGGTAGGCAACATCAGTGCAACACACCCTGCAGGTAGGCAACATCACTGCAACACACCCTGCAGATAGGCAACATCACTAACGTTTAAATATTTGAACTGAAACACAGTTACTGTTGATCATGTTGTTGATATCCGTTTTTGATGTTGTTGTTGTTGTTGATGATGGAGTTGCTGTTGTTGCTGTTGATATCGTCATTGATGATGGTGTTGTTGATAATGATGTTGTCAATGTTGCTGTTGTCACAGTTGTTGTATTTGTTGTTGATGTTGTTGTTGTTGATAATGTTGTTCTTGTCGTTGTTGTTGATATTGATGTTGATGATGATGATAGTGTTGTTGATGGTGGTGTTGTTGCTGTTGCTGTCATTGTTGATGTTATTGATGTTGTTGCTGTTGTTGTTTTTGTTGTTGATAATGTTCTTGTCGTTTTTGTTGATGTTGTCCTTGTTGATGGTGTTGATGATGATGGTGTTGATGATGATGGTGTTGTTGTTGCTGTTGATATCGTTGTTGATGATGGTTTTGTTGATAATGATGTTGTCTTTGTTGCTGTTGCTTGTTTTTGTTGTTGAGATTGTTGTCTTTGACAATGTTGTTCTTGTCACGTTTTTGATGTTGTTGTTGATGATGGAGTTGCTGTTGTTGCTGTTGATATTGTCATTGATGATGGTGTTGTTGTTGATAATGTTGTGCTTGTTGTTGATGATGTTGTTGCTGATATTGTTGTTGATGTTTTTGTTTTACTTGTTTTCCTTGTTGTTGTTGCTGCTGCTGTTGATAATGTTGTTCTTGTCATTGTCGTTGGCATTGTTGATAATGGTGTTGTCCTCGTTGTTGATATTGTTGTTGATGATGTTTTTGTTTGGTTGTAGTTGTGGTGGTGGATGTCTTGTTGTTGTTGCCTTTGTTGATGTTGTTGTTGATGATGATGATGTTGTTGCTGATGTTGTTGTTTCTTATGTTGTTGATAAATGTTGTTCTTGTCGTTGTTGTTGCTGTTCTTGATAATGTTGTTGTCTTTGTTGTTGTTGATATTGTTGTTGTTGTTGCTGATTCTGATTATTGATTATGACAATGATGTTGTTGATAATGTTGTCTTGTCCTTGTTGTTTCTGTTATTGTTGTCCTTGTTGATAATATTGTTGTTAATATTGTTGTCCTTGTTGTTGTTGTTGATGGTATTAATGTCATTTATATTGTTGATGTTGTTGTATTGTTGTCTATATTGTTGTCATCCCTGTTGTTGTTATTCTTGTTGTTGTCCTTGTTGTACTTGGTGTTGTTATTCTTGTTGTTGTTCTTGTTGTTGTCCTTATTGTTGTCATCCTTGTTGTTTTTGTCATCGTCCTTGTTGTTGTTGATGTTATTGTTGCCCTTGTCTTTGTTATTCTTGTTGTCCTTGTTGTTGTTGTCCTTATTGTTGTTGTTGTCCCGTGCAGGTACCGGGGTTTCAGAGATGAAAACGGCGAATACCTCCCGGAGTACTTCCACCTGCTGGCCATTCGCCTGACGTTCGTCATCGTGTTCGAGGTCGGTGTTTGTCACGTGACGGATGTTTGATGAGGTTTTGTTAATGAGCGGGAGGTTTGTGCCGGGTGGGCAGAGTTACTGCTGAGTGACATGATGAAGGCTCCTCCTCCTCCTCTGTCTTTCTCAGCATGTGGTGTTCCTCATCGGGCGTCTGATCGACCTGATGGTGCCTGACATCCCCGAGGAGGTGGAGATGAAGATGAAGAGGGAGCACTACATGGCTAAAGAGGCGCTGGCTGAGAACCAGGTACAGGAACACCGAACCTGACGTGCTAATAAAAGACACTCGCGCAGTTTGTGTTGTTGTGTTTATTTTATTCTTGTTTGTTCTGACAGGAAGTCAGAGCTGATCGGATGTCATGTGTGAGTTTTCATTTTACTAACATGAATGTGTGAATCCTGGGATAGCGAGGTGATGACACCTTCTAAAAATAGACGGCAGGTACGAGGAGAATAAAACGGGGCCCAGTGTGGAGCCCTGTGGTTCGCTACAGGAGATGGTGCAGAGGAAGAGGACATGCTGTCGTTTGACACAGAGGCAGACTGATTTTGTATGTAGGAAGCAAACCACTGTAGGTCAGTCCCTGAACGCCAACAACACGCTCAAAGCGTCAGAGCGGATCCTTCGCTATCCTACGATTTGCAAATCTGCTTTTCAAACATTTTTCAGGATTTTAGAGTCACAAAAACTCAGAAAAGTTTATACCCTTGTTTGAATGAATTCTTCTCATTTGATGGAGTGGTTTGGGCTTGTGCATGACACGTCAGCTCTGTAGTGCCTCCTCATCACCTGCAGCCTCTGAATGAATTTTTGACGCCCTTGGTATCCTTAAAAATTTAAAAACTTGTCTCACACATCAAAACACTCAGATCAGCCTCTTCCATCAGCCTCATTGTGCCCTCTGCCCGTCTGTCCACCACAGGGTCCAGAGCCTTCAGCCGCTCTGCCCACCGCCTCTTGAACTCCCTCCCTCCTGACATCAGGAACATTGACTCAATATCCATTTTCAAATCCCGCCTGAAAACCCACCTTTTTAAACAGGCCTATTCTATTTAACTTCACCTTTTACTGTGTTGATGTTTGATGTGTCTTTTAGCCCTTTTAAATTTAATTGTCTTTTACTTGTTCTGTAAGGTGATCTTGAGTGCCTTGAAAGGCGCCTTTAATGAAATGCATTATTATTATTATTATTAAACAGGAACGTAAAGTGATGGGGCTCAGTGTGTGTAGCAGCTCCATAGCACCCCCTAATGTCTCAGTTGGGACAAAGTTCCTCAGACTTTTATCAAATTTGGCACGCACATTCCTCTCATCAGTTCAGACATATTTCTCAATAGCTTTCACTAGCTCCGCCCACCCCGAAGTCAGCCATTTTGAATTTTGTGCATGTATTTTACGCAAACGTTTTCATATCCTCTCAGAGGGTTCATCAGACTGGTTGGCGGTATAACCCTCCGACTAATGTTAGACTTAACAGCGGAGAAATAATCGATGGTTTGGATGATGATGTCGTAGGTCATGTGACAACAAGCCACTTCGAGCATGTTAAGGTAAGGAACTTCATGAAAGTCGTCCGAGAGGATTCAACAGATCCATCTTAAATTTGGGCAGCAGAACTTCAAGACCTTCAGGAAGCAAACTTGTCAAACAGTGTGATGCCCTGTTTCCACTGAGCAGTGCGGTTCAGTTCATAGTTTCTGTCTCCACAGTGTAAAGTTGTGGATGGTCCCAACAGAAGCGTTTCTTAGCGTCCCCATGTTTGGTCCCCCCTCTGTTGGGGTACCTAGCACACAGATCTGGTACTAAAAGGTGGAGCTAGAAACCCTGCAGTCTGATTGAGGACTGATCACACCTTAAATTTAATCTTTTTTTTTTTTTTTTGGAAGTTTTATAAAAAGAATTGAACATTTTTTGACACCTTTTTCTGACTTTTTAATCATATTTTTCTGACATTTTATTAACATTTTTTTGGATATTTTATATTTTATTGGACATTTTATCAACACATTTTCCGACATTTTACGAATACCTTTCAGACATTTTATCAACGTTTTTTGAACATCTTATTCATTTTTGTTCTAATTAATTTTCCCGACAATTTACTAACATTTTAGGATATTTTAACAACCTTTTGGGCACTTAATTTACATTTTTTTCTGACATTCTACTAATATTTTTCCGACATGTTATCAACTTTTTTTTAGACATTTTATTAACTTTTTTTCTGGCATTTAATTAATGTTTTTTTTTTTTTTACATTTAAGTAATATCTTTTTGGATATTTTATATTTTATTGGACATTTTATCACTTTAATTTTTCTTTTAATAAACTTTTTCCTCAACATTTTTTTTTTTTCACATTTTATTAACATTTTTGGTGACAAAAACTTTGACCATTCCATTAGTTTTTATTTTCTCTCTTGGATGACAGACACTTTTAGTAATGAATGGATCTTCAAGTGTTTATAATATAGATTCATTTGGACTGGATAATGTGATCTGCATTTATTCTAATCCTCACTTGGCAGAGGGTCGCTCCTGTGGGCTAATACTACTACTACCTGTAATAATACATTTAATTTAAAAGGTGTCTTGCAAAACACCAAAGGTCACCTTACTGAGTTACATTCACTACATTCATCTATGAACATTCACTGTTCACTTACACTGGATTCTGCCAAATATGCAAAGAAGACATATTTGAGACACAGCTGCACTTCCTAACAGAATGCACAAACCTCTAGCCTGTCCCAACAGAATATTTCCTGAACTTCAGACAGCGCTCCCAATTTATCAACGCTCCAGTTTGTGTCAGAGTGCGCTCCCACACTCACAATGAGTGTTTCTGAACGCACCACTCACATCATCTTCCTCCATCGTCTAAAACAAGACAACACAACTTGTTAGCTAGCGCTAGCTTATGTCTGTGGAGAACTGTTTTGCCTCCAGCTAAGCCCCGCCCACCAACAAACATCACGCAGTTTACTAACAGTAAAAGGGTGTATTGAATGTTTTATTGTTTGCACTCTAAAAACTGCACTTCTCCTTGTTAGTACTACCATGTACAGTGTGCTCTGTCAATACTTTCAGTGTGATCATGTCAATAAAGCCTCATTAAATTGAATTTTAATCCTGCCAGCACCTTCAACATGCGCGACGGAGCCTGCTCATCACTGCTCTCAGCTTTAATCTGACGCGTTTGACCTGTGTTGTGTTTTGTGTTTCTAGTCTTTGGGGAAATCCATGATTCCTAGTGAAAGGGATTCCTCGTGCAGCGACCTGCGACAGCGTCCATCTTTACGACCACCGCAGAGCGACTCCCCTCCGCCAAACCTGAAGGAGATCCCAGAGGAACCTGACCCATCAGAAAGGTGCTGAAATATGTTGCACAAGTGAACTCTGTGCTGGATGTCCTACCTCTGCCTCGACGTCCTGATCTACTAGACTGAACTTCTTACAATCGACCTCTCGGACAGCTCTATAAGACCACTGTGAGACCTCTTCAAGGTCTACAAGAACTGGGTTGAGTCTTACAAGTCCTACAAGAACATCGCAAGATCTAAAAGACCATTGTAAAAGACACTTCAAGACTGCTGCTGGATATGTAGAGATTCAACCAGACCAGATCTGGAAGACTCCTGCTTGACCTTTAGAACATCTACTAAGGTTGAGTTGAACCTCTACACATCCTTAAAAAGCTCTTCAAGAGGTCTACAAGACCTTCAGCACCCCCTCCACAAAGATCTCCACAAATATCTCCACGAGTGTCCTTAAAGTAAATGAGAGCTTTTCAAAGCCCCAAGATTTCTGCAATGTTTCCACGTGAGCTTTTCAAGAAGCCAACATGGCCTTGGTCCTGTGTTCTTTACTTACAAGACCTGTTTGTGACTTGGAGGAAGCCCACAAGAACAAGAACTTTAAAGAGCCCTAAAACCTTTCAGAAGGGTGCTATGAGACCCTTGGTGCACTTAGTGTTTGTGCACTTTTACAGGCTGCAACCTTTATGCCCTTGCACTGTCAGTAGCTGTGGCTGGAGGCATTTTATGTTCAGGTTGTCTGACCATCCCATTCTCATGAATGTAAAATCTCGAGAACACCTCATGGGAATTTCTTCAAATTTTGTCTCATTCTTGACAACAGGATATCTCAAGAAGGCCTTGACTGAATTTCCTTAAATTTGGCACAAACATCCACTTGGACTCAAAAACTGATTAGATTGAGTGGTTGGACATCACTGTGGCCTCACAAAACATTTTTGGCCATAACTCCAGAATTCATACGTTGTCCTCCTGAGGGATCAGGGTAATACCTGACACGGTGGACGTTCCCTCATTGTTACATATATTTATAAATTATATTTCACCGTATTTCAAAAGTTAATTCAGTGATTGAATCAAATATATATATATATATATATATATATATATATATATATATATTTAAAAAGAACAGCTGTTGATGTTGGTGAATAGAAAATCCTTCACGTGCGCTGTCACTGCAGGAACCTTCAGGATGGTGCCACTGCAGCGCTGCTGAAAATGAAGTCTTCATTTCAGCTTTCCCAGATCTTCTCTTCTATGTGTCTTTTCTCAGAGAATAATTCAGCGTCATTAATACAAAATAAATTGTTTCATGATGGCCTTCAGCCTGACACCCAGCCTTCGTTGATCTGGTTTTATTATCTCATCAATCATTTTTTTGTCCAGTAGCAATGACTGATACGATGTGTGTCATTTATTTTTGTGCCACCACAATATGCCGTTTGGATTGTGTAATTTTTGCCAAATTAAAATCATTTTTATTCTTGTAAAGTTAAATCTGTTTTTAGATACTGTATGTTTAGATTCAGACTCTTTTCTGTTTTCTTAGAGGAACAAACTTTTAATCAAGTTTGTTGAATATTTAAACAGCCTTCGTGCATTTATTAACATGAATCATTATTTTTTGTGTGTTTGTGGTTCTTGAGTTGTTTAAATCGACAGTTTTATGGAGCCAGATCAAAGCCAAAGGTTTGATCATTTAAAAAAAATGAACTTACCTGAGAAACTGAAAGTTAAGTTTTGATCTTGAATTGTGAAATATACAATGGTGTATCTCAAACAAAAATAAAAAATGAATACATTAGTGAAGGAAACATGTTTTTTCAGGTGAAATAGAATTTTGATTCGGTTCTGAAATTCTTTTAAATAAATTATTTACACATTTTTCTCTGTTATATCTATTTTAATATTTGAGCTCTCTTTTTTTCCAGTTGCAGATTTAATGTTTTCAGATTCATATAATCTCCTGAAGGCAACAAGATCCCTCAACCCTCTGTGCAGATTAATCAATAATGAAAAGAGTCATCTCTGTTCAGAATATTATTCAGTCAGTGCTCCAGGAAGTATTCGGATCCTTCACTGCAGTAAAAGTACTAATACTACACTGTGAAAATACTCCAGTGAAAGTCCTGCTTTGAAAATGTGACTGCAGTTAAGAAATACTTTACTTAGACCTAAAGTATATGTATACGTTTAGGTAAAGTACATATCTGGAAAATGTATGTAAGTATTAAAAGTAAAAGTACTTAATGTTAAAATGTTTTGATCAACTTAATAAATCAAAAATAATTAAACTAATTCAATCAACTAATTGTTTCAGATGCACTTGTTTATTTTTATATTTTTGGTTTATGTGTAAAAAAAAAGTAAAGTAAGTCAAGTTATTAAAGAACTGTAGTGGAGTAAAACTAGAAAGCGGAATGAGATTAAAATACAGTTTCAGGTTTATACCCCAGTACTTACAGTGCCACCAGAAAGTATTCACACCCCTTCACTTTTTCCACATTTGGTTATGTTACAGACTTATTCTAACACTGATTAGAGTTTAGTTTTCTTTAAAGAAATCTACATAAAATATCCCATAATGACAAAGTAAAAACATATTTTCAGACATTTGTGTAAATTTATTGAAAATGTAAACATTTAAACATAATAGGTACATAAGTATTCACACGCTTGGCTTAATATTTTGTTGAAGCACCTTTGGCAGCAATCACAGCCTCAAGTCTTCTTGGGTACTGTATGTCTCTACGAGCTTGGCACGCCTGTTTTGGGGCATTTTCTCCAATTCTTCTCTGCAGATCCTCTCAAGCTCAGTCAGGTTGGATGGGCAGCTTCGGTAGACAGCTATTTTTAGGTCTTTCCAGAGATGTTCGATTGGATTCAAGTCCGGGTTCAAGGACATTCACAGGCTGCTCCTGAAGCTACTCCTCCTTTGTTATCTCGGCTGTGTGCTTCGGGTCATTGTCGTGTTGGAAGGTGAATCGACGCCCTAGTCTGAGTTCCAGAGCACTCTGGAGCAAGTTCTCTTGAAGAATCTCTATATGTGGCGACTGTCATCTGACCCTCTATGTGGACTAGTCGGCCTGTTCCTGCAGCAGAAAAACATCCCCACAGCATGATGCTGCCACCACCATGCTTCACAGCAGGGATGGTGTTAGCCAGGTGATGAGCAGTGCCTCTTCTTCTCCAGATATGACGCTCGCAGTTCAGGCCACAAAGTTCTATTTTGGTTTCATCACCCCAGAGAATTTTGTGTCTCCAGGTCTGAGAGTCCTTCAGGTGCCTTTTGGCAAACTCCGAGCGGCTGCCGTCTGGCTACTTTACCATAAAGGCCTGATTGGTGGAGTGCGTTAGCAATGGTTGACCTTCTGGATGCTTCTCCTATCTCCGCAAGGGAACGCTGGAGCTCCGCCTTGGTGACCATTGGGTTCTTGTTCACCTCTCTGATCAAGGCCTTTCTTCCCCGGTTACTCAGCTTGGTCGGACGGCCAGATCTAGGAAGGGTCCTGGTGGTTCCAAACTTCTTCCATTTCTGAATAATGGAGACCACAGTGCTTTTGTATCCTTCCCCAGATTTGTGCCTTGACACAATTTGGTCTCCTAGGTCTGCAGACAGTTCCTTGGACTTCATTGCTTGGTTTCTGCTCTGATATGCACTGCCAACTGTGAGACCTTATATAGACAGGTGTGTGCCATTCCAAATCATGTTCAGTCAACTGAATTTACCACAGGTGGATTCCATCCATTCAAGTTGTAGAAGCATCTCAAGGATGATCAGTGGAAGTCAGAAGCACCTGAGCTTAAGTCTGAGTGTCATAGCGTGTGAATACTTCTATTATGTTGAAATGTTTACATTTGTTATAAATTTACACAAATGTCTGAAAATATGTTTTTACTTTGTCATTATGGGATATTTTATGTAGATTTTTTAAAAGAAAACTAAACTAATCAGTGTTAGAATAAGTCTGTAACATAACCAAATGTGGATAAAGTGAAGGGGTGTGAATACTTTCTGGTGGCACTGTAGAAATGTTTTTCTTTGTCTTCCATCACTGGCTCTTTTCACACAGATAATACTGAGACACATCAGTCTCCATCAGCTTCAGTAAAAGCAGCTGTAAACAGTGCTGATCAAAGTTTTCTGATGAAATGAATAAAAAATAAAATGGCGGTGTGTCGGTGTTCCCGGTCAGGCGCTCTGTGGACTGCTAAACCCGCTCCGTGTGACGTGTAGGACCTCCTCCTCCGACACACAGCAGCAGTAATGGCGGACTACGACACCTACGATGATCGGGACCGGCCCTACGGCAGCTTCGGCGGCAGCAGAGGGTGAGTCTCCGCCCCGCACCGCGGCATTGCCCGGTGGCTCAAACACAAACCGCGGCTGGACCGTCGCCGTGTTTCCCGCTGCTGTCCGCCCCGAGCCTCGGCGCAGGGTGACCAGGCCGCGGAGCTCGTCCCGCCCGGCGCTTGCTGAGCGGGACGGAGAGGAGCGAGCGAAGGCCCGGGACAGCAGCTGGGAAACACCGCGGTCCCGGAGCTAACAGGCTAACTGTTAGCAGGAGGCTAGCGCCACTGTCCGATCCATGTGGTGGGGCTCAGCCCGGAGCTCCGCGGTGAAATAACGGTTATCTGTGACGATGAGACGGCCCCGGGGAGAGGGGAGAGGCCGGTGGAGCGGGACAGGAGGCCGCAGCAGGTGGAGGTGGTGGCGGAGCTGCAGCTGCAGGCTGCCCGCATGGCTGCATCATGTGTCCGCAGCTGCAGATACATCCACGTAGTTAGCAAACATGACGCTGGATGTCGATCAGGACTATTGGTTATTGATCAGTAATGGTGTGTGTGGCTGACATCAGATCAGGCTGCTCTGCTGTTTTACCTGTTTTCAGCTGAAGCAGAATGTGATGTGTTTTTTCAGGGTGTCTGCAGCTGCTGTGGGAACTCTGGCTTCACCCACACTCACTTTAATTATTCACAAACACACACGAGTTGTGATCAATAACCTGAAACAGATTCACTGACCTGCAGGGATCAAACTATCAGTGTTGTATCAACGATCGATCATTGAATGATTTGTTAAACAGCAGGAAGCTGTAAAACTTGTTTATGGTGATGTCATCAGATTTGTCCAAAACCCAAATATCCAGTCTGTTGATTAACAACAGGAAAGATCACGATCATCAATATGTTATTGTTTCTAGTCTATATTTGGCCCTTTATGAAGTAAACACATTAATTAAATAGATTAATCTCTGTTTATCAGGTGACATGAAAATATATCGAGGGTGTCACAGAGTTTAATAATTATGAGACATTATAGTATTAAAATGTCTGTCATAAGGAAACACAAATAAGTGTTAAACATGAAATAAAACCTGAAGTCTGAGGCTGAACTGTACGAGTGTTCCCAACGATATCTGTAAATATGTGACGTCCAGTTTATTCAATGTCCCAAACTGGTCGTCAGCCGCCGTCATCACAGACAATGTTTTATTAATATAGAGACTTGTTTTGAAAAACAAATGATGTGTTAATTTGTAATCTGTAAACATGCAACACTTTCCACAAATACCGAAAAAACAAACAATACAGCAAATACACAAAATAATTACAAAAATAAATAAAATTATTTAGTGTGTGTAAAATATAAACACACAAGTGCAAGGAAAATTTACTCACTTTTTATTATCAATTTATTCAGTTTTATTGAATATTATAATCCATAATATTCCTCATTGTTATTAGTTGTCCGTATTCTTGACACTTTTATTGATATTTTCATGTTATGCTCATGTTTTATTTCTATATTCTATTTAACAAAAGAGTATGGAGATAAATTTGTCTCAGTGTGAACTGTGTGAGATCAACAGTCCTTCCACAAATACCAAAAGAAAAATATTTTTAAATATTTTGCAAGTACAAAACAAATCTGTAAATACACAAACACATCCCAAAAATAAAAAAAGAAAATTATAAAGTGTGCGTAAAATGAAAATCTGCAGCCGTAGAACTGAGATTGAAAAATAAAAGCTGTATTTACAGAGACCTAAGTTGTAAATGTCAGGAAAATATTCACAAACATTTTTATTTGTTTGTAAATTAATTAAATGTATTTACACATAAATTTTCATTCATTCATTCATTCATCTTCTAACCGCTTCATCCTCTTGAGGGTCACGGGGGGGCGGAGCCTATCCCAGCTGACACTGGGTGAGAGGCAGGGTTCACCCTGGACAGGTCACCAGACTATCACAGGACTGACACATAGAGACAAACAACCATTCACACTCACATTCACATGTATGGACAACTTAGAGTCACCAATTAACCTGCATGTCTTTGGACTGTGGGAGGAAGCTGGAGTGCCCGGAGAGAACCCACGCTGACACGGGGAGAACATGTCAGAGCACCTGGAGGAAACCCACGCTGACACAGGGAGAACATGTCGGAGCACCTGGAGGAAACCCACGCTGACACAGGGAGAACATGCAAACTCTACACAGAAGGGCTCCCACGCCTGGGATCGAACCGGCAACCCTCTTGCTCCACCGTGCTGCCCCACATAAATTTTAATTTGTGTAATTAGTGTATATCTATTTTATATTTGCAAACATTTTTTTGAGGTTTATATTTCTATGATTCAAACAGAGCTGTGATTAAATCCAGTGGTGGAAAGTAAAAAACATTTACTCAACTAATTAAGTATGAATCTGAGGTACTTTTACTTTACTTGAGTATTTTAATCTTATGCCACTTTCTACTTTTACTCCACTGCAGTTCTTTGACAGAAAACACTTTTACAAACATCTGCAAATACAGAAAAGCATCTGAAACAATTAGTTGATTGATTTGGAAACTAAACTTAAAATAGCTTATTAAATTAAATTTAATTAATTAAATTAGATTTTGGTTTATTAAGTTGATCAAAACATTTTCACATTGAGTACTTTTGCTTTTAATACTTGAATACATTCTCCTGATTTGTTCTTTGCTGCAGTCACATTTTCAAAGCAGGTCTTTCACTGGAGTATTTTCACAGTGTGGTATTAGTATTAGTAGTATAAGTACAGTGAAGGATCCGAATACTTCCTGCAGCACCGACTGAATAATATTCTGAACAGAGACGATTCTTTTCATTATTGATCGATCTGCTGATTATTGAACGGTTTGGTTTCTTAGCTGTTAAAGGTTAATGAAGGTGATGTCTGCACATATCTTGTTTTGTCTGACCCATCAGTCCAAAGATACTTTTACGTTCATCTATGACGAGTCAGAGGCCTGAACTGGAGAAGATTTGGCTTTTTGTTTTTGTCATTTCAGATATTGAAACTTATTTGTACACAACCAAAGCAGATGTTTCAGCTCAGGTCACAACATGGCTGACAGAGCGCTGCCTCCAACTGAACGTGTCTGAAACAGTCAGCATGTTTTTCAGACCTGTTACTGATCCTCATGAACCTGTGACAGGTGAACAATTGCAGCTCAGGAGTAAAATCAGACGTCTTTCTAACTTTTAAGTCACATTTAAAAAGAAACTGTAAAAAGGTCAATTCAAAATGTTTAGAAATCACACGTCTACAGGGGCCGCCAATATGGAACGCCTAATGGACCCAAACGTCTAATTCGACATCCGTCTTAAGACATCAAATTTGTACCTCAGAAGACGACAGAAAATGGCGTGTTAAAACGTCAATTTTTAAAGTCTTAAGATGTTTGGTCCGTTGCTATTGGTTGGCATCAACATACCCACCCCCTTTTGACGTAAGGCTTCCATGCTCCACCCCCTTTTGACGTAAGGCTTCCATGCTCCACCCCCTTTTGACGTAAAGCTTCCATGCTCCACCCCCTTTTGATGTAAGGCTTCCATGCTCCACCCCCTTTTGACGTAAAGCTTCCATGCTCCACCCCCTTTTG